GCAGGAGCTACCAGTTACTACGAGGACGCGGACTCTCGTCAGCAGACAACTGGTGGTGCCGAGCCCTTTCTATGCTCTACCGGCTCAGCAGGTCGGTTCCCGAGCTGAATACCGCAGCTCACCCGTCGAGGCCCCCAACAACTTTAGGGTGGGACATAACGAGGAGGGAGGGAAGAGGTAAGGAAAGGAAGGGAAGGAGCCTCTGGCCAACTTTAGCCATTTACCACTGGCCCCTCGATGGACCTACCCACTGCCGGCCCGAGGTATCCCGGGCCAGATGGCCGGGACCTCGTGGGCACGCCGACACCCGAGGTACCAGTATTTAGAAGGCCGACTGGTAGGACCTGTCGTAGCTACGCTACTACCATGTTCGGAGACACCGCATCTCCAGCACTGGTCGGCTAGCGCTTCGGGATCGTGTAGTCGCTACTCTATATAGTTGCTAACAATCGGTAACTAGAAAAACGAGCCGGAAGTCTCGAATAATATAAATTATATATTAAAATCGTAACACGCGATTACTTTTTGGTCCGGCCGATTTTACGGTCTCCAGATATCAACGACCGCGACAACGAGTACGAACAAGTAGGCGTCCACAGACATTGGTGAACGATACACCGTTGATCCAAATGCATAATATCTTCGTTGCATATCAACAGAGCGTATTACAGGCACGGTTCTCACTCAGTTTTCTCGAACTAACTTACTAGTTCGTTATTTTTGCCAGACCGCATTTCAACCGACCGTGGGCAATAGTTGTTACGTGCTATGGACATAATCGACATAATTAATGCGTGCGTAATGAATTCAATTAACGATGGTAGACTCCGTAGAATGTAAAACAAATGGCATTAATATTCAGTAATTATTGTACTGGCCGCTTCAAAATTACGGATCGACAAGCTCTCTTTATATGAATTCTTATGTTTTTTTTTTTTTAAAGACGACTTCGTTAAGTTTTGTGTGCCGAGTATTTTCGAAACAATTTTCAGTGAAATTCACAATGAAGTGCGCGTTATTTGAAAGAATGATGTACGTGGTATTAGATGAAAATAAAATATCAACATATCAGATCGCATTTTGAAACAAGACCGAATACATCGTACAACCAATAAAACAGAGAACATTACAGCAGAATTCATATGCATATCATTTTCCAGGAAACTGGTGCTCGGAGTAGATCAATGCTCTAGTTTTATGTATTGCGTGGTGACGGCAATGGGAAAATTCATTTACGCTTTTCGAAAACTTTTATTCTGTTTTCTAGCGCGAGGTCGGTGCATTGGCATCAACTGTTATCTACTGCATTTATGGCAGAAAATTGTTGCAATCCTGTGCACGATCGTTCACCGAGTTTGAATTTCAATTTCTTAAGCGGCAGCCGTAAGAATGATTCAACGACAGGATAACGACACTGTTTACAAAGTAGGGAAAAAGTTGGCATAACGGCGCACAGCTTGTTTGACCCGTGAACGCACGATTTTCTTTAAACTATTGAAAAATTTATAATTTGAGAGCCAAGGAGCAATAGAAAAATCATCTGAAAAATCTATCTTAGTTATCTTGTTCCAGGGGTTGTTGCCAGATTAAATTGTGGAACACTGTAAAATTCGATCGTTATCTTTGTGCACCGACTTTATTATCGATTCCACTGGAATGTTGCAAATATTGTGGGGCCTGTGGAGCCTTTCTCTGCCGATATCCTTTTTAAAAGGTGCGCAAAGATTGGACCATTTTCTGACGTTACGCTCTCATTAATTCAGAGCGAAGGACGAAAGCATCGTAATAAAAATACAATCACTCGTGCGGTTTTTGTTCGCAACGATTAGTCAGACGGTTTTTCCCCGTATTTATTCGCTGTTTTATAGCCTGGATTCATAAAAATGAGCGACATTACTCCGAACACAGATATTACGGATACAATCATCAAAGTGAACGTTCTTAACGTATTCCAATAAATCTTTTTTGCAATTGTACTTTTTTAAACTTCAACCTATAAATGCGAAGCATCAAAAAGACGCTTTCATGCAAAATATTTAAAACAACGCTGTCTTCACGGTCGAAGATATTCGAAAGAAATTTGAACGAAAAGTGTTGCAAAAATCGAAGCAAACGTCTTTTGAAATGAACAATCGCGATCGCGCAAATAAGAGCGACGTGCAAATATTCAGAAAGAGACTTGAAACAATCGGAAATAAACAGCAACATATTAAACGCTTCGGTCCCGCACGGTATGTTCCGGTCTGTACAAAGAACTGGGTTTTTTCGATTCGTGGAAATCGATCGGGAGCAGCCTTGATCGCGATCTATAATCAGGCTAGAAGTAGCCGGCGCGGCGCGATGGTTATCGCAACTCTGTTACAAATTGTTGCGTCTATATTACACGGTTTCGATTCCCATGCAATTAATCGGAACTCGCTCCGGGGGAACAGGAAGTCGGTGTATGAGTCATTGTTCTGTTTAACGTATCGTTCGTCGATCATGTGTTTTTGTTTTTGTTATTCCCTGGCGCGTCGATATAACAAGGCATTTTCTCGATTATTCCGTGGAAACTCCGCGACTGTTACGTGTCGAGATTTATGGACGCAATTATTTATAAATAGTATACCGACACGATGTCCCGACGCAACGCTGCCGAGCATGTTGTATTTCTGTTTTGCATGCGCGGTGAGTCACGCGTTAATTGATCAGGCATCGTCCATTGTTGCGGCGCGGTCCGCCGCGTTAACGGTTAATTGTTACGTAACGATCGATCCGTCGACGGAGATGACTTGAACGCGGCTACCGATCGCATAACGAGCCAGAGATCGAACGATAAAATCGACCGATTCAATTTGATCAGTAATCGACGTCTGCCGACATGTGCAGTCTGTCTGTCTATAGGGAAATTCATGCGCTATGGTCGCCGGTCTTTGTCAATTTATCTGACAGCATACCGATACGCAAGCATTATGAATTATCGACCGTTAAGTATGTTGTTAACGTACAAGTGATTTGTGAAAATGCATCGATAGAGATACACACTGATACTTAGACGAGATACGACTGTATCTCTCGTACCTTGCAATTAATGCAGATCAAAATTTTGTAGTCTAATAATAAATATTGTATAATAATTCTGTGAAAACTGATGATTTTAGAATATACAGTGGCCGACAAAAGTGTCCGTACACTTTTTAAAACGCAATAACTATTTTAAAACTGTACCAAATGACCAAGTGATGAATTTTATTAGATAATAGACTAGTCTATTAGACGATGGCTGAAAAGCTTTTTTCTAATTTTGCTGTTAATTGTTGTGAAAAGAAGCAATTAAAAAACTCTCGTTTTAACTTTTTTTATTTGAGCTTATAACGAAAATTTAAAAAATGCCTTCTGTAGATCTCGGTAACTTATATGCATGCTGAAAATTTGATCGAAATCGGTTAAACTGCGATTTTTGCGATCTCTAATTTGTTGTAACTCATAACAACGTGAACTGATTTAACTTTTAAATTTTTGTTATAGACTCGAATAAAAAAATTAAAAAACGAGGGTAGTAGCGAAATTAAAGAAAAAAAACATTTTAGTCATCGTCTAGTAGACTCTAGTTCTTTTATCGTCTGAAAAAAATTCAAGTCACTCAGTTCACTTTTGAAACAGTTATTGCGTTTTAGAAGGTGTACGAACACTTCGGCCACACTGTGGGCCACAGTATTCAGGCATACATAGAGACAGATCGAGAGAATTTGAGAATCGCTTAAAATGATCATGCACAATGATAATGAACAAATTTCATGAATAAAGTATTAGCAAAAATACATCGTATTTTTTATTTTTAATTGTGTAACGAGGAGGATGTAAATAAGGGCACAAAGAAATGATAAACAATCGAAGCGACGCCAAATTTATAGAGAAGCTGGTATTACACGACGAATAAAGAGTTAATTAATCAAATTAGTGCCACCAGTGTCGAGACTAGCGTATTTAAACTCGACCCTCGCGGTTTCAGCGGCGATAGTTCATCCTCCCGATGTTGCCTATCGATCCCGTAAATTCCCCCGTCCCAACCGTAATCGGGATCGTAATTGACTTATCGCAGGGATGAGGGAGGACGGTTCGAACGCCTCCGGGGGATTATTTGACGAGAAGAAAATAGGAAATCCGGAATTGACGAAACGATGAAGCGTCGGGTTATTCGAGCAATCGACAAGTCGGCTTAAACTGAACGACGAAGGTTCGGATGAAATGTCGGGCGTCGCGACGCCGATCGAGAAAAGGAGGGAACGCCGATTTTACTGTGATGGAGGCCTTACCTGCTCGCCATTGTCCGTGAAATGTGCGTTCGCGAACGAACTGAACATTCATCTTAACCCTTTCCGTACTGACTAAAATGAATATGTATAGTGGAAGAAATTCTACTTGTTCGTATTATTTTGATCATTTTATGTTATACTCGTGTTATACGAATGCCATTCAGATTATATTGACTATACTTACGTTATGTTCGTACGTGCCACGTATGAACTGCAGTAAATTCTCTCTAATTTTCCTTCAGCTTGTGAACAAAAATGGAGAATTTGGGAAGAGAAGACACGATTATTCGCGCCTCGCGGATCATTTTTATAGTTCCCTTTTGTCGACAATTATAAAAACGAGATGCAAGGCTCGAATAATCGTATCTCCTCTTGCCAAATTCTCCATTTTTGTGTACAAGTTGAAGGAAAATTTGGGAGAAATTACTGTAATCTGTAAAAAATGAGCTAATAATAATAAATATTAGAATAAATACTAGAATAATAGTTCTCCTGACTTATGATTTTTAATCGCTTATAGATTGCGTAGATATCTGGACGGAAAAATCTTTTAGCTATTGGGAAGTGACGTCGATTTGTAAGAATTTATGTAATGATACGGAGCGTATAACATTGAAGATGTTACCTGGCGTCTTCGACAAGAACGATTGTGTTCGATGTGTCCACACGGTTCAGATGATCGTCCAGGTTTCCCTCGCTAAGCACGAGAACTGTCGCGTTCGCGGTTTTACTGAAGAATCCGTCTTCTGGTTTGCCGATGTGCATAATGCGCGATGTTAAATCTGAAATCAAAATCGGGCGATTAATTGGACATCCAAATTCTGCTTCTTGTCGAACTTCGTCCAATTATTGCATCAATTCAATTCGCAATAATTATTATTATTAATTCGCAATATGTTTCACGAAGTAACGTATACTCTAAAAATTAATTTTGGTCTTAAAGATCAGGAATTACTAGAATCTACGGAAACTGAAATTGAGTAAAATTTCATTGAAAGATTCATCGACGAATTGTTTCAAAAAATTAAAAATAGAAACGTTAAACAAATTCTACGATTCATTGAAGATTATTTATACGCGAAAAGTTTATGTTAGCAGAACGTTAATATCCATTTTCCAAGGCAGAAATTGCTGATGATAATTTTTCGAGCATTTAAAAAATGAAGGAAGGTTTCAGACAAGATCTTTATATAATACAGTTACTCGTAAAATTGAGCGTACACCTATTAAAACGTAATAACTTTTTCAATTCTGGACCAAGCCTTAGCCTTTCTTTTAATTTTAAAGCCTATGCCTTTCTTTTAATTTTGCTATCACTTGAGATAACAAAAAAAAAGATAAAAATCTCTCGTATTTTAACTGTTTTATCTGAGCCTATAATACAAAAATTTTAAAAATGCCTTTCGTAGATCTCGCTAACTTATAATATATGCGTGCTGAAAATTTGATGCGTTTTAAAATGCGTACGCTCGATTTTCTGAGTAACTGTGCATATATAAAGCTGGTGATTAATTTCTTTACGAATATAGTTCGAGGGAAGCGTGAGAAAGCGCTGAAATTTTGTTCGGCATCGTGACGACGACGCCATTAATTATCGCGCGATTACGGAGACAGGGAAGTACCGTCATCGTCGCCGTCGTGGACCAAAACACAGAGACCCTTCTCAATGGCTGACATTGTCAACTTTTTGGCGATGTTTTGCGAGTCGTCCTCGCTGTCTTCGTCAGTGTTCACCACCAGCGAGAACGACTTCCACTTGAGCGACTCCGCGACCTTCAGTGCTCCCTGGAACAGAAAATCCGGACGTGCCAGCGCAGCTAATTCCGAACGAGCCTCGCAAATGCTAAGGATGATCAGATAAAAAGGATTCATGCAGGCAGCAGAAGATCTGTAATTAATGGCGTGCCATCGGCGGCGGCCAGAATTTGAGGATGTTCGAACATTAACGACAGAATATTAACGATACTCCTATCAGCGTAATTTAAGGAAGACAAAATCTGTTGATCATAAGCGAGCCATTAGGGAAATATAGAATTTCATAATTTAAAGCATGCCGAATGTTCATAGCAGAACGTTAACGATAGGTCTTGCGAATCGATTCGTACAAGATAAAAAGGATTTGCGATTAGACTACGAAGTAAAAATCGTTCGCATAAATTATAAGATGCAGAAGACGGACTTCGATATCGATATTTTTCAATTCATCGAATCTTATCGATGTTTTGAGTTTTATCCAGTCGTTTTCGTTATAAATGCTTAAAAATCCGCAATCCGTTAAGAATGATGCCATCGATGATTCAAAGAATGTTTAATAGAACAGGAGTTCTCGCGAATCGATTTCAATTAAATTCCAAATCAAAATCTCTTCCATCATTCATTGTTTTTGTAATAATGCCGACGATTACATGTTTCTGTTTCTAATGATCCTACACAAGCTACAAGAACGTATGAAATCTGCAGTTAGAAACTTCTTTTGTAGAACAGAAGTCGCATTGTCGAGTAATTGTTCTGCGATTCTACTGTGCTTTTTGCTACATTTTTTCGGTAATTACCTGAATAATATAAGTATCGGATTCCTTGGCGAGGTGATGAAGGTATGGAGAATTCGATCGCCGCCTGACGATATGTGGCACTTTCAACACCGAAGTTATCTTATGCACGGCTTCCGCATTCGTCATAGTGTCTGGCCCAATAATTCCTGCAGAACGAAGTCACCTCAATACTGGGTGAAACGAAATCTGACTCCAATTATTTCATCCAAAGACGGTCGGAACAAACCAGAAATTAAGGAACACAGTTCGTCGAACGAGATGCTATTAACACTTTAATTACCGAAAACCTATCAACGAAGCTTGATATTTCTCTTTTCATCGAGGCTTAAAGGCAACTAACGTTCATACCGGGTGACCCAAAGTTATGGTATTTCCAGGGAATGAGAGGTTCCTGAGATCATTTGAAGTAACTTTTTCTTTAACGAGAATGCGATCCACGGCTTCGTTTAGGAGTTACTAACGAAAAACAGTGATCAATGAGAGGTGAGCTCGGCTGCCGCAATGCGGCCGAGTCAAGGAACAGATGGAATCCAGTTCCGTTCATTGGCTCAGCCGACTCACGCCAGCTGATCTCGCCTCTCATTGGTCACTGTTTTTCGCTAATAACTCGTAAACGAAGCCGCGGATTGCATTTTCGCTAAGGAAAAAATTACTTCGTACGATCTCAGGAACCCCTCATTTTCCGGAAGTATCATAATTTTGGGATGCCCTCTATATTGTTTTGTTTCAATGGAAAAATTAGATTTACTCAAACTACGTACGATTTCTGTAATTATATATGCTGAAATGAAGGGATTTGTAAATTATATTATAAAAATATTTCTATGATTTCAACTACTGTAAAAAAGAAAACAGATACAAGTCATTTTGACCTGACCAATCGATCTAGTGTTTAATAATAATTTCAGGTTGTAATATTACATTCATTCAAGTACTTTGTTCGGTCGTGGATAAATCTGTCGTCGCTTTTAGACGATCTTGAAGAAAATATCTATCCAAAAGTGCCGGTAGATAAAGTGTTATAATAAGTTTGACTTCATTTATATTTATATAGAGGATCCGTAGAAGTTAATCACCTAAATAATAAGGAGCCTGCAAGCAGTTGGTGTCCGCCCCAACGAGAGCTTTCATCCCCGCTTTCAAAGCGCCTGCAATGCTGCCGCACGTGTCCAGGACGTTCAGTTCTTCAACAAGGTAGAAAGAATATTCATAATGAATCCTCAGTCGGCATGAAAAACTCTCATGATCTTCAAGCTAGACAGCGGACTATTGTGCAGAATGAAATTAGCATGCATAAATTGTAACAAATAAATAAAAATTGAACATCGCGAAATAATATTTTGACTGATTTACGTTTCTCGTACCCAACATTGTTATGAATGCGTAAGGCACGCTGAACTTCTAGCCCACCACTATTTGACGAACAATAAAAATAAGTTGTTGTCAAAATACTCTATAAATAAATAAGTAAACAAGTAAATTGTCAAAATTCTTTTAATTTGCGGAAGAGTACCACCGTGCAGACTGGTAGACATTCATTTCCTAAAAGTAACTTTTAAAAATACAGTGTGTTCTTTCAAGCCTTCCTAAATAACCTTCGGGTGGAAATTCTCTACTTCAATTACGGTTAACGCTAGAAGTACAGTAAATTCTCCCTAATCTTCCTTCAGCCTGTAAGCAAAAATGGGCAACTTGGGAAGAGCAGATGCGATTATTCGAGCTTTGTACCTCGTTTTTATAATTCTCGACAATCGGCAACTATAAAAATGAGCCGCGAGGCTCGAATAATCGTATCTCCTTCTTCCAAATTCTCCATTTTTGTTTACAAAACCCGAAGGAAAATTCGAGAGAATTTACTGTATCGAGCCTTAAACACGACTAATATATATTGTTTTATAACAATAAAAAGAGATCAGATCTATTTCAACTTCACGCGATTTCTATTATAATACAATTTTGAATATGGAAGTTTGACTGAAAGAAAGTTCTCGTGTCAACCAGATTAACTAGATGAACCAGATTAAACTATAAATCCGTTCGCTCAACGAAAACTGGTACCGTCTAATATTTCTGCCATCTTGTATTCTCGAAAATTGCAAAACCGCGTAAAACCTGCATCAGTCTTCCAACCGACAGCCTTCGCGCACAAATCCGTTCGCCAATCGACTCCCGAGCAATCGATAGTTCCAAAGAACAAGCAAACAATCGGGATCCGTGGAAGGCAAGAAACACAGAGCAGCTAATATACAGCGAGCACGGTGGCACCGTTTCCCCTTGGCATCGATTTCTTCCGCGGCACGTTCTTTTTTTTTTCCTGGCGCGGTGGTTAAAGCGGAAACGAGACCCGAGAGCAATTGATAAAGTCCTGTTACCGATATCGTATCCGGCAGACTTGTTGTTGTGAGCCTCGGCGAGGAATTTCGCGGCTTCGTAAAGCAGGACGCCTCTGGGCGACAGCTTCCTGCAGGAGGGATCGTCGTGGACGCTGGTCAGGAACGAGATCTCAGCACGAGTTCCGCATTCCGTGCGTCCCCCGCAGGTACACGCGCAGATCATACCGATCGTCACCAGCAAGACTTTACTAAGGGCCATCGTGCTACCAATTTCCTGTCGATTCCACCGATCCACGCAGCTTTACTCTCGAACTTCCCTTCGCACTCGTTCCTTTGCTTCGCGTTAATATTCTGATAATTTCAGGTCTCCGCTAACCAGTTAGGAGCAGTTAGTGTCGCAACGTCCTTGTCGCCAGAGACAAGAACGCTAATGACCGTCGAGCGTTCTCGAGCGTCTGCAACGGTATTCTCTCTCTTGTGAACTTGTCTTCTTCTTCTTCTTTCTTCTTCTACTTATTTTGTTTTCCGTTCGCTTTTATCTAATGTTCACTGAACTTTCACTGTTGTTTCTAAGGGACTCCGTAGAGCGTGGGGTGGGCGCGAGCACGAAGAGCCCTGTTAAACGTCGTGCTGTCACATGGGGCAGCAGACCGCAATGCGATTCTCGGGGTGACACGCGAGGGGAGCCGAGCTGGTCTCTTCTTCAGAGCTTCTCTGCGAACACTGCGGACCTTGGTATTGAAAACCGGAAGCTTTATAAGGAAGCCAATGCGACATGTATTATGCGAATTTCTACGGTTTTAGGCCTCATCGACCAGGCCTCCCGAGCTTTCAAGGCGACCTTGTTGAGTATTTTTCCCCCCTCGTAATCTCCCTGTAGCACGAACGCTTCTTTGTTTTTCGCTTGGACCGAGTGTCGATGTTTCGGCACGGGAATGTTGAAGCTAAAAGAATGTAGACGATCCACGAATAATTTGATACTTCTGTTGCATAATCTTGGAAGTTTCCTTCTTGGAGAATTATTGTTGGACCAATTGACGTTGCAACTACCGAGATCTAAACGCGACTAATATAGGGTAAGTCCGGAAGAATTCGGCCAGTTGGAGAGACCGGCTAGTATAAATTGTCGCGAAACTGTATTCTTAGCAGTAATTGAGAGATAGGTAAGTTTATTTATACGCTATTTTCATTTTAAGGAATATATTGTGCATGAAACTACCGTATAACCTCAATATTACGCATGTATTCATTTCTATTTTACATTAAAGATGTGGTCGATCTCTTCCGTAATTCTAGTATATATAGACCATACTAACTCGGAAGAGTTCGACCACATTAATTGTTCCATCCTCCAACGAAATTTTTATACTTTTTCTATCCGGTTTTCTTCAAAGCGGATTTGGTTTCTTTCCAAGTTGAAAATAACTTAATTTCCAAAGAATTCCTTTTGGCTTAGCGAGACGATATCGGTCATGGTCAGAAAATACGATAGGCAACTTGCAAACATTATAAATAGTTCAGAGAACATTAAGACAAAGAAAAACAAGGGAACTGTAAAGAGACATAGGAATGTTTCAATTAAAAGGGGGAAGAATGTAAAGAACCGAAGAAAACAATTTGAACAATCATTCGACTTGAGCAGAGATAATCCAGTTTTATAAGAAAGTGACGCGTCATTAGGAGAATGGAACCACACAAAACGAATGCGTGAGATGCAGAAAGGACTTACCGGACTTATCCTATAGTTAGTATATTATGTATAGTATAATATAGTATATTATAACTTCGACCAGATTGGTATGCTTTAATAAAGAATTTTATCGAGAAATATATCAGGAAACATTTTTGTAACATCAAGTACTGTAATAAACGTAAAATATTTATGTTCTTGTTTTAGCATCTAATTTAGTTTCAGTGGTTAATTACTGATCATTAGACTGCAGACATGTATGCAAATTCCCTGGTTCGCTTCTTATTTTACGATCTTTGAAGTAGGGGATTGCAATCTGTTGATCGTGTTATGAATATTAAAACAAGTCTACTTCTTAAAAACATTTTTGCTGACTGCATTAAATACGACTGCGCAGTACGGAAAGAGAATATACTACAGTTGAGATTCTTTTATCCGAAGGTTTATTTTTGTGATATTTTGATACCAGAACATTCTTTCGTCTAAACATATCGTTTAATTTATTTACCACTCTGCTAGGTGGTGATGTATTTAAATTGTATAATTATTAGATAATAGAACGTTTGAATACCAGAATATTGTAAAAATAAGTGTTATGTCAAGGTTATTTTTGTGATATTTTGATACCAAAACATTCTTTCGTCTAAACATATCGTTTAATTTATTTACCACTCTGCTAGGTGGTGATGTATTTAAATTGTATAATTATTAGATAATAGAACGTTTGAATACCAGAATATTGTAAAAATAAGTGTTATGTCAAGGTTATTTTTGTGATATTTTGATACCAAAACATTCTTTCGTCTAAACATATCGTTTAATTTATTTACCACTCTGCTAGGTGGTGATGTATTTAAATTGTATAATTATTAGATAATAGAACGTTTGAATACCAGAATATTGTAAAAATCAGTGTTCGGATAAGGGAATCTCTGCTGTATCATCTGTGTTTATACGTTCTTCAGTTCCCTGAATTTTTATTGTAACCCCAATCTTCATGTTCGGTTTGAGCAAAGTTTAAAATCGTATTACAATGAAAATGGCCATTAATCTTCAGAGATTATTATGATACAACTGCGAAGGCTTCACCGATGTTCTAATTCGAACAGACATGTGACCACTCGGTCTAAAGCAAAGAGGATGCAGCTCCGTTAATATTGGTAGCATGTAGACTGGAGAAAAAAATCCTTCATCCCACTATAATTATATCGCCTGCTCCATTCGACCAATAAAATACAGTAAATTCTGCTTTATTGACGCTCAGCTTGGAAACAAAAATGAATCATTTGGGAAGAGGAGGTACGATTATACCAACCTTGCGACACGTTTTTATAGTTGTTAATAATAATAGTTGTTGACAATAGGTAACTATAAAAACCGGCCGCAAGGCTCGAACAATCGTAGCTGTTTCCATTGGCTTCTACCAATTAGAAGCCGGAATGCGGCTGTACATCTTCAACTACGTGCGGTGGGAAGAAAAAAATGTTACATGCCCCTACTACGTTTAGTTTCATTACTTTATTCGATTAGTATTCCTTCTATTTTCTGAAGCAATAACATCAACAAAAGTATCAAATTTCAAGATAACAAAATGAATCGGCTATCAAATTTGTATTATAGAATTTCTATAATAATATAATAAGTACACACTTTCTTAACAATATTAACAAACGGACAGTGGCTTTCATGAATTAATCACAAAAATAGATAGGCGATGTATGAAATAGTAGACAAATTCGTGTGTAACAAAACATATGATTAGACCTAAATTCATTTAATCTGTCCACTGCTTTAAAACCTACTCGTCTTTATCATAAATGCGTAAAACTCGCAGCCTCTTCATGACAAAGATTTCATATAGGATCTGTTTCAATTACGAATAATAATTATTTTCTTGAAATTGAAATAAACTTTAACAGACGTAACAATGATTAAAACTTTTACCACCCTAAAATCAAGAACAAGGAATTTCTAATCGATCGCGCCTACAAAGAAAATAGTAACATTTAAAATAGTTAACACCCAATTCTAGGCGATCACCGCGCAGAATTTTGATTTTACTGGAATGCCAAACTCAACTCGTTTACAACGGCAATACGTCACCGATGGTCCTCGAGGCTGAATTTTCGTAACACCGGAGCCCCTCTTAATCGAATGTAAGCTCGTTAGCATATTATTGACTACGAGACTGTAAATCCTTGTTGCACAACCTGCACCCTTGCATAATCATCCGTTATGACTGATTAAAATGCATCGAAGGCGCAAAGCGCGAAACGGTTATAAAACTCAATTCTCCGATTATAACGATACCGTGCGTTTTGATTCTGCCTTCCCCGATCCGAAGAGTCATCCAGATTAGACTTGCAAACGCGCAAGAAACGGTAAATCATACAATGACTGTACTTGTGACCATAAGTGGGTTCGATAAATATATTAATGGTTCAGCAAAAAAAAAAAAGGAAAACAGGGTTCGTCAATGAGCGTGGCTCGATCATTTCGCAACCGATTGTAACGGTTTCATCAGATCAGCGTAAATAACAGTATTCATATTAACGAGATGCTGTTTTTGCCCCTGTCGTTTCCGCTTCCGTGTTTTAATACTACACGATCTTTAGAAATAACTTGATCGACCATTGTCTTTGTATGCGAGAAGTATAGTTTGAAGCAAATCGTACAGAAGTTTAACAATCTTTTAAACATTCTTATATATTGCACAGTTATTTTTTCATGATTAAGAATGAATTTTTGTGGCAGGATAATCGGCGAATCGATCTTTTTTAGAGAGAAGAACGAGACCGGATAGCCGAATGAGAAATCGGTATTACAATGAAATAGGCAAAAATATAAATATAATTGCGAGAAATAGAAGCTGTATAATTTATCTCTTCTCTTAATATGTTCAAAGTAGTATATTGCGATGGTCTTCTTATTTTTCTACTGTTTCGTATTCCATTTACTTATCTGTATTATACGAGGTGTTCCATAATTATGTTAACAATCGAAAAGGAGTGATTCCTGAGTTTATTCGAAGTAACTTTTTCCTCGGCGAAAATGCACTTCGCGGCTTTGTTTGCGAGTTATTAACGAAAAACAGTGACCAATGAGAGGCGGGATCAGCTGGCGCGAGGCGGCCGAGGCAATGAGAGAAACTGGGCTTCGTCCGCTCATTGGCTCAGCCGTCTCGCGTCAGCCGAGCTCGCTTCTCATTGGTCACTGTTTTTAATTAATAACTCGTAAACGAAGCCGCAGATTATACTTTCGCTAAGAAAAAAGTTATTTCGAATTAACTTAGAAATCACCCCTTTATGGGTGTTAACATAATTATGGGACATAATTGTGTTAACATAATTATCGTAATTACAACATAATTACATAATTAACTAATTATCTATCTGTATTACAGTGCGTGTTTTGTTAAAATACATTGTTCCGAATTTACAGCATTGTTGCAGGTGCTGATTTAATATTTCGCTCTATAAACGCATTTACTTATGCGCTCGGTTACAGCTGAAAATCCAATATGGCTGCCATTGGAGAACATATCTGCGTGAATGTAGCGTCTCGTTGTGAGATATTTAAACAATTATTTATATAATTGCAAATAATTTAACGTTAACATTTTAAATACTAGAAGCCTAACGATAGTCTGTTGAACAAGTGTACAGTGCCTGAATAAAAGCTTAATAATGTTTATATGAGTGACAATCTCGATTTATAAGTTTATCGTTTCACAAACCAATTACGCTACACCTATTATATAATTATATATTATATTATTATATATTAATAATATATATAATTATATATTATAATTATTATTATAATTATATATTATATATTATATAATTATATATAATTACCTGTTATAATTATATATTATATATTATATAATTTATCGGGAAGCTCTGAGTTATTTATCTGTTATTTTCGAGGACTATAAAATAACTGTCGGTAGGTATTAAAATAAGAATTGATCTTAGCAGATTTTGCTGTATTAAGATTGGAATCGCTGTAATTGTTATTTCCATTTCGAAAGCACACGACACAACTGAGATTTGTTACATGGTGATGTCATGTTGTGAGCTTCGGTTTAAGGGTTGTAACATCCCACGGCGACGATGATTCCTAGTGTTTCACCTTGGCTCTATTCACAACCGCATTCTATGTATAATGCATGCTTACGAGCTGTACTTCTTAACTGAAATCCCTCGGGCATAAGAGATTTATTTATTTACGTAAGCTCCGGCCGCGGTGGCGTGTTGTTTCGCGTCTCCATAAACGCGGCAACCCGTACACCTTCGTTTGCATCAGCCAAAGACAATTAGTCCAATGTACATCAAAGTAAAATTAGCTTGACATGCGACGATACGTGCTCTGACAGGGAGCACTGTTCTATTGATAGAAACATTGCACAGATATTTTTATAAAGATAATATGGTGACTTATATTTTGTATTAAATTCAGGAGAGAGGGAGAGAGAGAGAGAGAGATATTTTTATAAAGATAATATGGTGACTTATATTTTGTATTAAATTCAGGAGAGAGGGAGAGAGAGAGAGAGATATTTTTATAAAGATAATATGGTGACTTATATTTTGTATTAAATTCAGGAAAGAGAGAGAGAGATAGAGAGAGAGAGGGGGGGAGGGAGAGAGAGAGGAAGAGAGGGAGAGAGGGGAGAGAAAGAGAGAGAGAGAGAGAGAAGAAATTTAATATGATTTTCGTACTGAAATTGTTATTTAAACTGCGCGCTATGAAGTAGTAAATTGTCGTTTAGTATTTCTCCGTAATTACATTCAATCAACTAATTTGAGTTACCAATGAAATTGCCGATGGCAACAGAGGACACTGGCTATGACCTATGTCCTAATTTAATTAAGACATTATTTAATGATGTTAAGAAATTATACGAAGACGCTTTCGGTGATCGGAATACACAACAAAATGCCACATTGTCCAACAAGTTTAACATACATATCATCTGCTCTTGTAACGAGGTTCTACATACTTTATAATAGAGCAAAAAATTCAGAATTATTTTTATACCTCATGGGTAATCTGTTTTCATTCGAGTATCAAAACTTCATTAATTCAGGTACATAGTTTTATGGGACACAGGAAACTATCTAATTTTTATTGC